ATAAGCACCGAGTATAATGGAATAAGCACCGAGTATAATGAGTTAATCACCGAATATAATAACATAAGTATTAAATATAATGACATAACCACCCAATATAATAAAAAAAGTATCATAAGACAGTTCTGGGGTTCCATACTCTTCGTAGGTTGGAACGCCTGGACGTGAACGAAATGGCGTGTTTTCGTCGCTGTTTTAGGAGGAAAACTACTTCAAAATAATCTCTTCGAGCGCTTCCCTTTGCATCAACAAATGTACTCAACGAAAGGTCAAAGCACGAGGTCGCAGATTCAAGTCTGTTCATCATAAATTTACTAATCGCAGACTTTCTACGCAGTGGGACCTGGGAACTGCTAACAGACAGATAACCTGAAGCCCGGGACCTGAAGTCGAGGCTGCCCTATGCAGGTAGCAATAAGGTGTTTTGATTCTGTACAGCGTGGTTGAAACTCGTAATTCCAAAATCAAGATTGCAGCAAACGCCGTCAATGGTCGTCAACTCATCGTCGGTTTTGTACCTGTCTTTCGTAGCCAAAATTGACTAACCGGCAAGTTACCCGAACCATATCTAACTACCTATCTATCAACGACCCTTCACAGGAATCTTACTGGGACATTAGGAACGCAAAGAATGGTTACAAAGGAATGTACAATTCACACCATACCCTCGTGTCCACGTGGCTTTGGTCACAGGGACACGAGGCAAAAAAAAAAAAAAAAAAAAAAAACATTTCCATCAAGATCCGTTATTTTATACGACTNAAAAAAAAAAAAAAAAAAAAAAAAAAAAAAAAAAAAAAAAAAAAAAAAAAAAAAAAAAAAAAAAAAACAAGCCTTGAAAGCATATATCGCTGATCCATCACTAAAGGTTTCCATTTTTTAGTGCAACCACAATTGTATTTATAAAACCGTACCCACCTGTTTGCGAACCTTGGACAGACCGCGGATTAGTGCCAGCCTCTCACAACATCCTCTCCTGTTTCTGGTTATTCCAGAGGTACAACATCTTATCCGACGAGGAATAACCCCTTTAGGTACGGTGAACACAAGCTGGGCCCAGATGAGCTCGGAAAACCCGAAAAACAGGCTCCACATCCATTGATCCCACTCCATATCAATCACACGAAACGCGTTTGTGAAGAATTGCACAATGATGATCTGGAAGAGAAGTTGAATAATTATGTTAGCTTCTGGTTTTAGTATAGAGTGATAACCGAATTGCCGAAGAAAGTAACTCTGTATAAATCTGATCTTATTATTGTTATTATTATTATTATTATTATTATTATTATTATTATTATTATTATTATTATTATTATTATTCAGTCACTGTGCAAAACAAAAACGGGAAAAATATCTCACAAAATAATGTGTCGAAATCTAACAGTTATTACCTGAATTCCAAAAGTACCAATCCAAACAACAATAAAAACAAAGTTGATATCTTTGAGTTTTCCGTACAGTAATCCATAGAACACATTCCTATCCTGCAGTCGTCTGCAGTTGATCTCATTAAACAGCTGCATGAATACGAATGTAGTGAAAACCATTGTCTTGTGCTGAGTTGGTCTGCATACACTGGACTCCTCATATCCATCTCTCATGTCCAGAAAATCAGGAAATACAAACATCAACACAAACATGACGGCCAGTTGATAAATGGAGTGACATATCACATTCTTTAGCAGCGTGCGGGATATGAGCGGCTTATGTCGGCCGTAAGGCTTGTGTCGGAGGACATCATTTGATGGTGGATCACGTGTCAGAGCAAAAGATGCCAAAGAGTCCATGATAAGGTTTACCCAGAGCAACTGAGTTGCTGATAATGGACTTCGCTGCAGAAAATACAAAACATTAAAATTGTACCCTACTCGATACATGACGACTGCTTGACTCAACAGACCCATTCATTGTATGTTTCATTTCCTGTCACAGGTTTAGATGAACGTAATATATTGGCCTGCTCCAAATGTATGGGTCTTCATAGCCCAGTGGGTATAGCACTGCAGCGCTAATGCAGAGACCTGGTTCGAATCCCATTGAAGCCCCGAAAACTTTTTCCGGGTTTAATTTGCAATTGTTTGAATTGCAGTTACAAAGGGGATGATCAAATCTTAGCCCAAATTAACCAACCAATCAACCAAAGGATGTCTAAAGACCTTATACTGAGTGAGAAATGTTCTGACCAGAAAATTCTCCTCCAGCAAGATGGAGATTTTAGTAACGTGCCATTTGCTAAAGGCAACAAACTAGCGTGACTATTTTCGCAGTAGAATAAGAAAACAATAAATATCTCAAACGCGCTTCACTTTCTGAAGATAAATGTGGGCGATTAACTGATTCATATGGCGTCTCAAGCAGTCAACCACTCTGAACTTGACGCTACGACTACGAAAACACGGACTTCTTGTGAGAGCCATGAAAAGAGATTCCACTCAGGTCACTGTATAGAGCTCAACTCTTTATTATTAGTAATAATAATAACTTTATTTACGTGTCAACGAGATTTAGCATTGCCGCTAATTGGGGACACCTAAAACGAGTTATAACTATCAGGACTATGTACATATTGGACAAGAATACGATGTTTAAGAACTCGTCAAGGTATTTACCAAAAGGACAACAAAGCGACACTTTCACTTAGGTTGTAACTATTAAAACGCAAGTTAGTTACCGTTTGAAATTTAATCATCCTCCCGGGGAAAATGTTTTTGTCAAAGAAAGATCCCCTAATAGAAACCAACACTAACCTTGGTGACACAAGCGCCAACGATAACAACAATGATAGCAACCCATGTAATGGTGAACTGGAACTGAAGAAACTTGAGGATACTTTCGTACAAGTTACGCCCCCATTTAACAGCTTCAACAATACTGGAGAAGTCGTCATTTTGTAAGACAATATCTGCCGATTCCTTAGCCACGTCTGTACCAGACACTCCCTGTAGTTTACAAATCACGTATTAGGAGTTTATTGACTAAATGGAAAGCCTGCCATGGAACACGTAGCATGAGATCATTATTTATGGACTGATTGCGCGAGGTCTGGGCTTCTGAGGTATGACGACTAAATAAAACATTGAAAGTGAATAGAACTAGAGTTACAGCCTCGCCCTAAAATGAGAAGAATTAACAAGGTCTTGTGAACCAATGTAAGTTAGTGGCGGATAGGTCAGAATGTGACAACGTCAACTAACTGATTTGCATTTTATTCCTCATTTGAAGGTTGAAGAGGAGAAACAGCGCCTCCCTCACTGGCGAAAAAGCTCATAATGATATCTGTCGCGATAATCTTGTAAGATTAAACTCAATTTTGAAATTAAAATATTCAAACAGGAATTTGAAAACGCTACCATAATAATAATGACTTCATTATCATTATTACTTTATTATTACTTACCATGGTAAGTCCTACGTCAGCACTTGTCAGAACTTGGTCATCATTCACTCCAGAGGCTGTCACTGCTACCACCTCTCCGCCTCTGCTATGCATAATGCGCTTGACAAATGCCAGTCTTTCCTGGGGGCCAGCATTAGCTAAAATGCGCAACTCGTTTGGCCACCACTCATCAAACTTTTCCTGACTGATCTGTACATGTTAAAATATGGAAGATGCTGGGTAATTGAGATAGAAGACAATGTTCAATAGAAAATTGTGTACACGTCGAAAAGGACCAAGGTGGTTTCAATAGGGATTCACTGAAAACTGTTTAAAATTCTTATTCTAGTGTCGTATATTATATAATAAAAAATCGAAAACCCTCATAGTAGTAGAGAAGGGATGATAGGCGCCTTTTTCTGGGGGAGCCATTTACATAAAGTGGGGAGCCAGAACACGATGACGTCACAAAGCATGATATGTTGGTGGTCTTTGTTAGCGCCAAGACAGACCAAAATAACACTGATTGTTTGAGACATAGGGCGCTTTCAATTCGACCAAACATTCCGGAGTGAATTTCCGGAAATTTCCATGGGCGAATGGTACAGACTTTTCCAGTGTGGAAAAAGACAAGC